ACTCCTCAATTTAAATGTCCTTTGCATTCGTTTCATCAATTTTGCCATCAACACAGCACGGCAGCGCACAATTCTAGCTAACCATATTTGGTATAAATCTTCTGACAAAGAATCAACCCAGTCAAGATTTTCTTTCCATAACATCTGCATAAAAAGTTTCACCTTTATATGAATTGGACCAACTAAGTTTAACCGATCAAATATGTTGTGTACCTGATCAATAAAACCCACATTAGAACTCTAAATATAGTATATTTCCTTTAATAACTTAATAACTAACAATAACACACAGTTTTCCCTCCTTCGTTACAAATCTGGTTTTTGTGGTGCCTTTATGATTCTTTTAGATTAACGTAAGTTAGGGGTTTTAGGAGATTTGGGAGTAGAGGGATGATCTGAGGAATCCGATTCTGGACTTTGCGGTATCTTAGATTTCTCCATTGTCTCCATAGTCACAGGTACCTCTTTATCTGTCTTATCTTCATTCTTCTGATTGATATCTCACATTCTTCTCATCCTCTGATATATTTTCACTGTGTTGATTTTTACTTTTATCCATTTTCAAATGATCTACATGCATAAATCTAGTTCCATCATCAAATTCCATCATGTAAGTTCTATAACTCTTCCTTTCTATTATTTTTCCTGCCCTCCAATGTCCCAATCTTCCGCCCAAATTAATAAAAGCGAACACTTTATCATTTATATGAAATGCCGCTTGTCTCCTCTTCATCATCATTGCCTTTTCTTCATCTTTAACAGCATGTGGATGAATTAATGTAAGGAGTGTTCTTGGAAAACAAGTTCTGTAGGCTTGCGTCCATTTACAGTATTTGGCATGTTTCTATGTTTTAAAAGAAAATTATTCAATAGTAGTTGTAGAGATTTTCTACGTTGTCTTTGTTCATTTTCCTTAATTGTTTTGCCAAATTTTTCTTAACTGTTGCTACATTTCTTTCTGCTAACCCATTAGATTGAGGGTGGTATGGAGGAGAATGTGTTAACAATACGGTATATTGTTAACTTACAAAATTTGTTAAATTCTGATGATCCAAATGGTGGTCCATTATCTCTAACTATTTGCTGTGGCAACCCAACAGTGGCAAAAATTGATCTTAGCGTAATTATTAATTCCTCCGCCGTTGTATTTTTAATTACTTTTACTTCCAACCACTTACTGAATCTATCCACCAGCAACACGAAATATCTCCCACACTTCTGAAAAAAATCTAAGTGCACTCTCTCAAAACATGTGTTTGACTTTGGCCAAGGTACTATAGTCGTTGTTGATGGTTTGCCATGGGTAAATTTGCAAACATCACATTTATTGCAATACTGCTCTATATCTTCATCCATCAGAGGCCACCATAAATTATTTCTTGCCAACATTTTCATTCTTACCATGCCAATATCATCAACATCATCGATCATGGAGGAGTTCCAAAATTCTCATTTTCAATTGGTAGGGAATCACAACTCGATTGCTAAGTAGAGAAACAGTTCTCTTCGATAGACAATTCATTTTGTTTCCTGAAATAAGGCTTAATATTGTCATTTTCAACTTTCATAGGCCATCCATTTTGAAGATATTCTTTTATTTGACATAATGTAGTGTCTTGATTTGTGTTACAAGCGATATCTTTTGCTGTAATTGGGAAATGTGTATCCAGAATATTTATATCAACTTCTTCGATAAGTTCCTTGTTAATGAGCGGCAACTTTGATAGACAATCAGCGTTTCCTATTTCTTTTCCTCTTTTATATAAGATCTTATAATTGTATCCTGACAAGATAATGGCCCATCTCTGTAATCTTTGAGATACATGAATAGGTAAACCATTCTTTTCTCCAAACAATATCTTTAGCGGTTGATGATCACTAATCAATTCAAATGGTCTTCCATAAAGGTATTTATGACATTTTTATACTGTAAAGATGATTGCCAATGCCTCCTTTTGAAATTGAGCGTAGTTCCGCTCAGTATTGGACAATGTTCTAGAAACAAACATTACTGGTCTCTCCACATCTTCAACAATTTGGCTCAATACTCCCCCAACTCCTGTTTTAGATGCATCGCAAGTAATGCGTGTAGGATATTTAGGATTAAAATAATCACGTGTAGCATTGGACTTTACTAGATGTTTACTTTTGTCAAATGCTTTCTGACATTCTTTACTGCAGTGAAAAGGATTAACCTTTCGCTCTAGATCATATAGTGGTTGCAATAGAGATGAAGCGTTTGGAATAAACTTATGGTAATAGTTTAAAAATCCCAAATAAGAGCGTAACTCAGTCAAATTTGTGGGGGCAGGTGCTTGCATTAACGATTCTATTTTATTTTCTACAGGGTGAATACCATTAGCATCCATTTTGTAACCCAGGAACTCAACCGACAATTTATTGAATTGACTCTTTTCATAATTGATGATTACATTATAATTCTCAAGTTGTTTGCACACGGCATCTACATTTTTCTTCAATTCATCTGCTAATTCATCTCCACCTGCTACGGTAACATCATCTATATAGCATGCGGTCATTGGTATATCTTTCAAAATCTGGTCCATAATGGATTTAAAAATTCTTGGTGCTGAAGTGACACCAAATGGTAGTCGATTATATTCAAACAATCCAAGGTGGGTATTAATTGTCAAATATTTCTTACAAGTAGGTTGAACTTTTAATTGTAAATAGGCATTTTTTAAATCGATAATAGTGAAATGCTAACCTCCAGCCATCGCATTAATCACGTCCTCCAGTAAGGGTAATGGATAATGGTCTTTCTTCACATTAGGATTCAAGGTCTTCTTAAAATCGACACAAAGACGAATTTTTTTCTCTTCATTATTTGTGGATTTCTTCTCAACAATAACAATCGGACTTGCCCATTCGCTGTGACGTACTGGGCTTATGATATTTTCCTTGACCAACCTCTTTATTTCCTTTTCAATTAACTCTCTCTGCGATATAGGAACTGAATAGGCTTTATGGAATACAGGCAAGGCATCATCTTTTAAAACAATTTGCGCCAGAAAATGTTTTATACAATTATTTTCATCTGTTTTGAACTTACTTTTTTCATTATTTACACTATTACTACTATTACTGTTTTCTAAACTTTTATTAGACGTATTTGGTTTATTTTTAATTATTGTATCAACTTTTTACCATTCGGGGACCAATACATCTACCCAGGGACGACCTAATAAACTAACATTTTTTTTCATTTATAACGACTACCGGCAATAATACTTTTTGTTTATTTTTAATAGTTATCCTAACATTGCTCTGACCTGCAACTTTTAGTTTATTGTCACAAACCGACAAAAGTTGTTTTAGACAACTCTGTAATTTACAATTTGGTAATATCACATCAAATTTGTCTTTAGATAGTATGTTAACACTAGCACCCGAATCGACCTCCATCGTTACTAGTCTTTTGTTAATACTTATCTTACTAAATGATAATAACTTATCATGAACTGTATTAATATTTATTTGTTGAATCGCTAATTCACACTCATCACTGCTCTGTTCACTTGTGCCATCGGACTCCACTTCTGACTCCGCTCCATATATTCATTTTTTCTTCCTGCAGCACGTCGCTATGTGACCTCTACCTTGACAGGCATAACATTTCCAATTAATTACCGGACAATCCTCATGATCATGGTTACTTCTCCTACATCTATAACATTTCTTCCTGTTTTCCCTTGCGCTTGACCTTACAGACTGATCCTTTTTATTAATCTCGACTTGACATTTCTTTCTTATATCACTTCTCTGACTACTTGACGACTTTCTTGATACATATGACTCTTTTTGACTTTTGTTATATTTAAGATTGATGCGACTAACGCCCATGCCAGACGTTTTAAATTCTTTCACTTGGGAATCGGCTAACTCCATATTGACTGCAATTTTTTTTGCGTTTTCCCTTGTTAAATTGTCTTCCGCCAATAGTTTTCTTTGAAGTGCCAATGATTTTATTCCTACTACGTATCTATCTCTCAGTGCTTCGTTCAGGAACACCCCAAAATTACACGTATCTATCTGCTAACTTCTATAACTCCACGACATATTCACTAATATTCTCATGTTCTTCTTGGTCTCTTTTATTAAATTTGAATCTTTTACAATTAAATTAATTAAAAGTGACGTGTAAGTTGGGTTGCTTTGGAGTGTTGATAAAGTAGGAAACTATTTGTATCAAAATTTTTTTAAATTTGGTTAATTTTTGGATAAATTGGATTTAGTTTGTAATTAAATTAATGTATTAAAAAAGAAACAAGTTTTAAAAGTAAATTGGGTATATTTTTGTTTTATTTATTTATATTTTTCTTTAACAGTAACTCTTAGTCAGTCTATAAAAATGAAGTTAATTTTTGTTGTTAATGGATTCTCATTCTAGACAGTCTAAAATACACTTTAAACAAAGAAAAACATATTTAATTTCAAAGGTGGCATACCCCATTAAACATTTTTAGTACAATTAAATTAATTAAAAATGACGTGAAAGTTGGGCTGCTTTTGAGTGTTGATAAAGTAGGGAACTATTTGTGTCAAAATTTTTATAAATTTGGTTAATTATTGAATAAATTGGATTTAGTTTGTATAAATTATTGTATTAAAAAAAACAAGTTTTAAAAATAAATTGGGTATATTTTTGTTTTATTTATTTATATTTTTCTTTAACAGTAAATCTTAGTCAGTCTATAAAAATGAAGTTAATTTTTGCTGTTAATGGATTCTCGTTCTAGACAGTCTAAAATACACTTTACACAAAGAAAAAAAAACATATATTTAAATTTCAAAGGTGGCATACCCCATTAAACATTTTTAGTACAATTAAATTAATTAAAAATGACGTGAAAGTTGGGTTGCTTTTGAGTGTTGATAAAGTAGGAAACTATTTGTGTCAAAATTTTTATAAATTTGGTTAATTATTGAATAAATTGGATTTAGTTTGTAAATAAATTAATGTATTAAAAAAAAACAAGTTTTAAAAATAAATTGGGTATATTTTTGTTTTATTTATTTATATTTTTCCTTAACAGTAAATCTTAGTCAGTCTGATATTCTCATAATTACCACCTAAATACCGCACTAAAAACTACAAAAAAATAATAATAATAAACAATATACCTCAGTTTTTTTCTTAAAATAAAAAAAAAACGCTTGTGTATAAATAGTTAACAACAAATTTTTGTGTTACGTATAAAAATCGGGGGGTTAACATCAATCATATTCAAAATCGTGTTTAATTAATTCTTTTTTAGTTTTATCGTAATAATAAAATGTAATGTAAAATGTAAGAGAAGTTCTCTTGTGACCTTGACCGATTGACATTGAAACACCCCGAAGGCGAAGGCGAACGCGTGTGCGTGTATGTGGCGTTGTCGTCGCCGAGACGAATTCCGTGAGGACGGAGGCGGCGCGGCGGCTGCTACTCCTCCGGCGGCGCGTCCTTCGCGATAAATCAGTCTTTATTCCTCCTCTTCTTGAGCGTTAATTTGAAGCAATCAGGCGGGACCGCAACGCAACCGGGCAAAACGCTTAACGAGCCCGATCTCCGTACATCGTACCTCTGAAAGATATTCGACAAAATGACGAACGTGAAGCACTGGACAAGTTTTTGTCCGATACAAGTCCTCCTCCCTGTACTAAACGGAATGAAATGTGCCGGTTTTGACACTTTTCCGTTTGATAAGAATCTTTCCGGTTTAAACTTTTCTGGTTGCGACCAATAATCAGCCCCCATATTCAACGTGTAATTATTAATAAAAACAACTGTGTCTTTAGCGATTGAAAAATCGCCGATTTCGGTGTCGACCGTAGCCACGTGTGGTACGATTGGACTCGAGGCCACTCTTAAAGTTTCCCAAATGGTTGCCTCTGTATATGGCATCAACTCCTTATCGAATAAATTCACCGGTCTTTCGTTTTTGGTCACCGAATCAACTTCTTCTTGGATCCGGATTTGTACATCGTCGTTGTTTTTAACGACTTCGGCCAAAACGACCATTACCAAGTTCCCAATTGCTGAGTGACCGCCCAAAAAATCTTCAAGCTCAAAAATAATATGTTGCCAGTTCATCGTCGGATCACTTTTTAAATGTAAAAGCAGCGCATCAGTAAAATCCCTTGGCTCCATGTTTTCATCTAAATCTTTGCTATTAATTACAAAAATTAATTAATAAACATTAAAAAAAAATTAATTTCCCTCCAAACGAAAAAAATTGCGACATTACCGGCAATGTCATTTTTGACGTTTCAAGAAAAATTAACGTCATTTTTAACTTACTTATGATCATCAACAATCCTTTTTAGAATAAATTTCCTTATTTCCGCCGCCCAATTCGACAATTTATTCATATGCCCAGTATAAAAAGGTAATAACCACGGAACGAAATCCACCAAATATCCTTGATTTATTTCCCAAAAAATCTCATCGAATATCCTAACGACTTTATTGAATTCGTCGTCTTTATAACCAAAACTGGTTGAACACATATATTCCGTAAACATGTTTGCGCACGCCATCAACACAATAGGTTTTAAAGCCAAACCTTTCGAAAGATCTTGAATTTGGATGTTCTTTAACATTTCAGCTACCTCTTTAGATGCCACCTTATTCACGTGATCGTACTGTTGTGACGTAAATCTCGGCGAACAATACGTTCTTGCGATACTTCGTCTCGTTTTTTGCAATGAAGACCAATCGCAAAGAGCTAAAGCTAAAAAAAATACTTAAATTAATTACATCAAAATAATTTCTTAAATCATTAGTTTGAAGTTGGTTATTAAGTCGAAATTTCTAGGTTGGTACTAAAATTTTTGACGTTAACCTCAAAAAAATTAAATAAAAATAAATATGGTGGAGGCGCCGGTGATATTATTTACTTTTTTAACCTAAAATTTTTATTTAAACGATTTAAAAGTAAATTATAAAAAGGTAATGGCATCCAAGCCATAAGGAGTATCTCAGCCGGTTGCATAACAGTTGTTAAACTCCTCGCACTAAGCGCGGTTGCAAAGTGAAAGTCCCAATCGAGAAAATTCCTGGCGACCAGGAAGCGCGTCGGCCGGCTCCGTAAAAGAACCCGGCAGGAATCCGAGATTAATCAGCGATTAGGCAAACGCAAGCTCGGGCAATTCCCGTTTTTGTACGACAGCCGGAATGCTGCGGCCAATTAACGCTACAAGGCAAAAGAGAGAACTCGCATCCTCAATAAAAAAACACTTTTAACAATCATTTTATAGAAATGCATTTAATTTTTTGGGGGAGAAATAAAACCTGAAAACCAGTCCTCCGTGGCACTACTATAAAGTAAAGTAGTTAGAGGACGAACTCGCCTTGACCTCGGAACGGTGGCGTAGTGAATTCACGCTCCGCGATGCGGGTCAAGGCCAAGGAACAGTTAGTGAGAGGACGCGAGACCAACGTCTCGAGAGTACTCACACTTATCGCGAATCCACCGGATATCATTTTACTTTTCATATTAACAACAAGAACTTTCAATAAAAACTCGCATCCTTTATACTTCTAACTTTCAAAGTTTAACCTTTCGACAGGCGCGCCTATTTTTATTACACAAGCAGGCGCGTAGTGTACAATGTACACATAGCAAAATTTCTTCTTTTGGGGGAAATTTACATGTTAATTCACAAAAAAAAAACAATACAGAGAATACACGACACTTTATTGTTATATTTTATGTGTTTACAATAACATAATAACAACTTATAAATCAATTATGAGTCAGAGTCTGAATGCATTTCACAAGTCGAGCAAGTTATCATAGTTTTTGAGTGTTTTTTACATATGAATTGCTTACATTTACAACATTTTTGTGTAGTATTTGTATTTGTACATACACAATTTACACCTCCCTCGTTTTTTAGATTGAGTTGGTTGTGTTTCCGACGTCCCGCACTCAGCGCCCATGTAGGATATTTGCAAAATCGCTCGAATATCCTTTGGCAGCGAAATTATTTGAGCTCTCATAATTAGTTGCTCTTTCATTAAAACAATTGCTAAATTACTTAAGAAAATTCTTCGACGACACTGATTTCCCGTAGAATGTTTTGTAAAATACAATATTTGCGAGTTTATTCCCGCTATATTTAGCAGCGTAAAAAACAGGGCTAATGGCC